TCTGGGTCCAGCGCAGGACGGACGGATCGGGGGCTGAACGTCGGAAGGCGCCTGGTAGCCCCTTTTCCAGCTGACACCTTTCCTTGCACAACGGGAGCTTCGTGAGTGCAGCCGCCTCCGTCAGATGCAGAGACTGACGCGGGATGGAAATCGGGGAGGGCGACGGGAGGGGAAGGCAGGTGGGATCCGGGGCTGCGAAGGAGGGGAAGCCTCGCCCTGGAGGTCGGCAGGATGGCTGGAGCAGAGAGCTCCCTTCCCTCCATGCTCCCTTCCTGGAGACGGGAGTTGCTCTCTAGGCGTAAAGCGTTTCTCCCGGTGGTTCGTTTCCCGGGTTGCTAGAGCAGAAGGGAGCGTAGAGGACTGAGGGTTTCGGTTTAACGGAGCTGCCGCCGATCCCTTCGTTCTTCATGTCTCTGTTTAAATACATCCTCTGGAAACCGTGAAAGAACAGATTAGCTTGCAGAAAATCTTACCTATCTGATTAATCAATACTCATTTGATTGCCCATAACCAATTTATCAAGAATTTGTTTAGGTGGAAAGGAGGAAGGTGGAGAGGTTGTGGGATTAGAGGGAGGAAGGACAGGAAAGTGAATGAGGGTGGAGGCAAGGCGGGGACCGCCGAGCGTCTCCGAAAATGTATTGATCTGGATTATTTTTTTATTGCTTGTATATGTAAATGCATCATATTGATATTTGTTGTTTAATTACAAAAATCAATAAAACTTTATTTAAAAAAAAACAATTTGTATAAGTAAAGATCAAAAATAAGCTAAAATATTTCTTAATTTCATATGATAACTAAATAGACTTCTCGGAGTAGCAATTTGCATATGTTTTGCACAGGAATTATAGTTTTCTCCCTTACGTGTTGAATTTATAATATAAAAATATTTATTATTTACCATCCAAAGCTCTTTGAAAATCAGAGCGTTGTTTTCAGTTTAGGTCCTCTGCTAAAAGACCAGAAATGAACTCAGAATAAAGAGTAGCAAAGCTGATTCTTAAACGCCCCCACCCCCAAATTTAAGCATTTGTTACAGGAGACTTTTCTCTTTCTGATCAAGTATTACTGGTAGTTTGTAAATGGGGAAGAAGAACCGCTTACTTCCAATCCTAACTCAACTCTGGCGGTTCCAGTGGGCTTTGGCTGAGGAGTGGCTGAGAAGAGGGAAGCCCCCTGCTAAATCATGCATTTGTACTTTGATTATTTATTCCTCTGCCATGAATTTTTATTTTTCTTATTTCAGAGGTATTGTAATTTTGTAGCTATATATATTGATATTTTTATTGCTTTTAACTTTGTAAGTCGCCCAGAGTTCCTTTGGTAAGACAGGTACCAAATAAACAATAATTAATAATAATAATTTAATCATCTCATTGGAGAATGGCTTAGACGGAGTCTTTATCCATAAATACCCTTGCCGACGAAATCTGTGTTCATATGTTTCTGCTCCACTGACCTCCTATGTGCTTAATTTCACCCAATCTTTCATCCAAACTAAACAAC